CAAGAGTCTTGGGGTGTAGAATTACAATGGCTACTCCTTATGGATTGCCAGCTCTGTGCTTTAATACCTGATCAAGGTCTCGAATCCTCACAACCTATGAGATGATCATTATTATCAATTCTGTTTTCCACACGAGAACACTGTGCCCAGTCAGGTGTGTTGGATTTCTTTCTTAAGGTCAAAGAGCAGATGCACCTAGCTATGATCCTGGATTTTTGCTCTAGAATCTGAATTCCTAATCTCTTGCTCCCTGTGGCACAGATGCACTTCTTGGCATGGCTTCTTTATCCGTAGTCTTTGTAGCTTCCACCAAATGACTACATGGAAGCATGCAAATGAGGTGGATGAAGCTCATAAGACAGGACTAGTCTGTCATTTCATGGGGCATCGAATGAGACGCCTCAGAATCAGCAAGGAAGAATCTTTTGACAATCAAGAAAGAAGAGCCATTAGCAAAGTAGCTTATATATACCCGGGGATAAGCCAGGTATTTCAGCACATTTTTAATGCAGTTTTTGTGGTAAAATTAGGTGCCTCAGCTGATTTTCAGGTCAGCTGAAACTCAAGTTATACACAGTATGTCTTTTAGCCTCAAAGGCCTTGACAGGGAAAGGCAGCAGCAGCAGCAAGAATCTTCTTAGCCCACAGAATGAATCAAACGTGTGCCTTCGGGCTGGAGGCTGGTCGCAGAGCGGGATGCCCTTTGGGCATTTATGAGTGCTAAAGAATCTTTGTAACACTTGTTCCAGCTCTGTAAGGTTTGTCCATGGGACCAAGGAGAAGCCAAGCCTAGACAGAAGTGTGCCTACTAGCACAGCTGAGAGGAGGCACTATAGACAAAAGAACTGTAGCCTTAACATAGCTGATCCTGGTTTGTAACCTGTTCACTCCCTACTGAACCCTCCTTGATGATCAGCATTGCCAGTGGGTTGTGTGAGCACTGCAATGGGTTATCAACCCAGGAGAGAAACAGAGTGCCATGGGTGGGATGGTTGGTGTCAGAAAGAAAGTGGGAAGGCGGGTAGCATGTCTGACGTCTGTTTCAAGGGAATCATCCTTGGGCAGATGTGGAGTTGGATTATCCTTCCTCCGGGTGAAGCCTCCATGCCGTTCCTGCACTCCCTCCAGAGGATCTGAATCTCTATTAGGGTTTTTCTCATCTTCCAGCTAATGACCAAGTGACTCCCATGATAAATATGCCATTCAGCTGAGATGTCATGTGAGCTGTGACCCTCGCATAAATGGGTACTCTCCTGAGAACACTTTGTTTTGGGTTGTTTGTCTTCCGTACCTTCCAGTAAGTTCCCCTTCATTGAAACCCCGTCTGTAGCAGAACAAAACACTGCCCTGCCCTGGTCCAGCCTCACACTGCTTGCTGGGTTTGAACCCATGCTGCAGCTGCTGTCTTGTTGTGGCTTCCTCTTTTCTGTCGACACTCAACGTCACCAAGCATGATGCCCTTGTCCAGGGGCTGACCTCTCCCAATAATATGTCTGAAGTATGTGAGATGAAATTTTGCTAGCGTCGCGTCTAAGAAGCATTTTGGCTATACTTCTTCCAAGACAGGGATGCTTCTTCTTCTGGCAGTCTGGTATTTTTAATATTCTTTGCCAACACGAATATCACGTTGGCAAAACCAAAACATTATCAATGTGTTTGTGCATTTGAGTCCATTAATAAGTAAAGATTATGGAACAGAAAGAAATACTGTCCAGTGTCACAATTGGAGAAAGAACTACTTCTTCTAACAATTATCAAGAATTTGGGGGCTTAAAAAAAAACATTCAAATCAGTTAGATCGTCTTGCCACATGGGAGTAATCACTTGGCTAATTAAAACAAGATACATAGTAAAAACAAGACAAGGTTCTACCTCAGGCACTGTTTAGTTACTTTTGTTTTATCTTGTCTTGAATTGATTTCCTTTAACAGCTTGTCATTGAGGAGGAATTAAAATTATATACAATACTCCATGTAATTAAAGTTGTATGTTAATTATATATACAAGAATGCTTACTATTTAAAGTAAATTATCTCTCCAATTGAGAGATAGACACACATACTTGTCTTAATTAAGGGCAAAGTAGAGGGGTCCTTCAAGGTCCTTTCTTTAATTTCTTTTCTCAACACACAGGGTTATATGTAGCTCGAGCTGGGTCACAGAATCCCCCGCAGAGAACTATTGCAGGCTACCGTACCTGCTGCCCTCCCCAAGATGGATGCAGTGTGCCTCCAGGAAACTTCCTCTGGTCCTTACAATGGTCCCATAGCATTTTTAATTGAAATCCTAGAATCTTAGTTATGATTCAACTTTTGTCTTTAGTATCAAGTGTAGTAGATATCATCATGTCTTACTGAATTATATTTCAGAATAAAGGTATTCTTTGGGAGAAGAACTAATTACCTCTGTGGTAAATCAGGGAACATTGGTACCCTGTTTCCCCGAAAGTAAGACATCCCCCCCAAATAAGACCTACTTACAATTTGCCTCTCGCTGAAATATAAGGCATCCCCCCAAAAAATAAGACCTCCCCCAAAATAAGGCTGCCCGAAGCTTCCGTAACTCTGGACTCTGGACCGTAGTGGTGGGCGCCGCCGCACAGCTCACTGTTGGACGCAACACAGCCAGAGCAGACAGGAAGTGCGAGGTCTCTTTTAATAAAACAATAAACAATAAATGTGTACTGTATTCTTCTTCATGGAAAAATAAGACATCCCCTGAAAATAAGACCTAGCGCATCTTTGGGAGCCAAAATTAATATAAGACACTATCTTACTTTCGGGGAAACAAGGTAATGGGGGCATCATATATATATATAATTGACCTGTATGATAGTTGTCTAAGCCTTGGATTCACTGGTAAATTTTGTTAAACAAAAATCCAGCCATATCTCATTGCCCAATTAGGCTTTACTCATTGATCTTGACACAGAAACAAATCCTACTGAAGAAGTGTCATCGTGAGATCAATTCTAGGGCTACCTCCTGTCGCACTAGCCCTAACTCACACTAGCAACAACTACCTGTGTGCTCAGCTCTCATATAATAGTGCAGCCACCTTAAGAGTTCATGTTCACACCAATGTTCCCAAATTATAATGAAAAAATCAAATTATATTCACTAGTTAAGAAAGAAAAAGATATATAGTGAGTGTTTCTTCCTAAGGAATTCTGTTTTTTTAAAAAAGTTAAAGGATGAATGGAGAGCCCATTTGTAGGCCACTGGACATCCCCTTACAGAATGGTCTTGGGTAGGAGACAAGCCAGTCAGGTTGCGATGTAGCAACGATGAAAAATACAACTTTCCTCTAGTTCCTAGATGCTTCCTCCCCGCTCCGACTGTCATCATCCCAATTCTACCTCGCAAGTCTGGCTAGACCAGAGGATGTACACTGGTACAGATAGGAACTGGAAACACAGGGAATCCAGGGTGGATGATCCCTTCAGGACCAGTGGTGTGAGTGGCGATACTGGGAGGGTAGAGAGAGGGAGGGTTGGAAAGGGGAAAGGATTACAAGGATCTACATGCGACCTCCTCCCTCGGGGATGGACAACAGAAAGTGGGTGAAGGGAGACGTCGGACAGGGCAAGATATGACAAAATAATAATTTATAAATTATCAAGGGCTCATGAGGGAGTGGGGAGAAGGGAGGGAGGGGAAAAATGAGGACCTGATGCTCGGGGCTTAAGTGGAGAGGAAGTGTTTAGAGAATGATGAGGGCAATGAATGTACAAATGTGCTTTACACATTTGATGTGTGTATGGATTGTGATAAGAGTTGTATGAGCCCCTAATAAAAGGATTAAAAAATAAAAATAAATAAAAAGTTAAAGGATGAGAGTTCTGCCCCACAACTTCAGACTCTACGCTGGCATGCTGAACAACATCATCAAGTTACTTCGCAGACCCTCACGATTACAGTTCTTTTTGTAATTATCTGATGACCCTTCCTCTTTTTTCTACACTTTGCTCTTTAGCATGGTAAAGAGGTCTTGTGTAACAAATTTGCACAGTGTAAATTTATACAATATTCATTTGCATGTTTACACAATACTTCACTTGATTTCTTGACTGCTGTCTTTAGGAGTTTTGATTGGCTTTTTATTAGTAGTATAAAAAGGTTGGTCATCATAACTCATTTCCAAATTAGTTCTTTGAAAGCACTAATTGTAGTCACATTCTCAGGAAACATATCTACATTATTTAAAAAGAGCAATAATTAAGCACTCTAAAAATAAGTATGATGAAATATAACTGTGCTTTAAAAGACATATTCTGGTAGACAAGGCCTAAAAAGTATTCATTGTCTCTATTTTCCACTGCTGTTACTCTGCTTTTCAGATGGTTAGTTGGCTAGTGAGAGGAAGCCTTTAAGTATATAAAACAGATTATTTTTCTCATAGAGACTGGCAGAACTCTGAGGCTTTACATTCTGTAAGTGTACAACTGAATTCGCTCCCTGAATTGATGTCAGCCGAATGAAAAAGGACAGGCCTAGAACAGGCACAGCAATACCAGGCAAGAGGGCACACTAAAGTCGCCAGCCATAGAGATCAGAAGGGCAACGTGGGCCCCAAAACAAAGCTGAGAAGGCAGCAAAGAAGGACAAATGGAAACAGGGAACACTTGTAGAAGTGGAAAGGTCACACGGTGTGGGTTGCATTTGTTGTCTGAAAACAAATGTGAGTACATTGTTGAGTGAAAAACTGACTTGCTCTGTCAAGTTCCACTCAAGTCACAATAAAAAGTTTAAAAAAAATAAATGTGTCTAGTTGTGTTCATCCCTCCTTTCAGGTGATTAGAATTTCACTTTCCCACTCACAAGGGCAGATACTGTCTTGTATTGTTTACTGAATGTTTTTGAAATTCCACGGCGGTGTCAGTCACGTGACATATGACCAGTGGGACATTGGGCACCGAGAGAGGATTGGATGAGAAAACAAAAATCCTTTTAGCTAAATTGATTTCTCATATACTTTTCCTTTCATTTTGTATGCCTCAGAGGTTCATTCGAAGATTCTACAACCCGGTTTTACACAGCATGTGTGGTGGAAGCGTTTGCCTACCTGCATTCCAAAGGGATCATTTACAGGGACCTCAAGCCAGAGAACCTCATCCTGGATCACAGAGGTTACGCCAAACTGGTGAGTGCTCTGCACACATGGTTTCTGTCCCGGGGTTTACAGTGTTGGTTTGGGGAGCTGTATTCATTTGCTAGCATTCCATATTCACGTTTCCTTCCCAACATTAGCTCATTTTTTAAAAATAGTTGTACTGTGGCTATTTTCAACCAATTACTTTTCAAAATATGTGAAGATCATGAGAAATGAAATGAGCTATGTTTGAATGAAAGCATGCTTGAATAGGATCACAGCTGTTGGCATGTGTTCCCAGCCCTATAAGAAGAGCCTCATAGAAGTGCTCTTTCTGGTCAGCCGTCTGCCACGCAAACGAACAGGTAGGTGTACCATGGAAGACCATAAATACCTTTCATATATTTCGTTTACAAGAATTCCAATGGGCTTTTCAGACAATGTTATCTAGATCATGTAGTAAATGTGCTAAGGGCTATAGAGAGTTACCATGGAAAGGAAGTCCTCTTATTTCAGAAAAAATGTTCAACTTTTTTGGGCATTTGAATCTGTCAGTGTCTATATTTAACTTTTAAACACTTGGGTTGTTAATTATTAGATGACTTTCAACTGTATTTAATTGCTTATATTCTAAATAAAATTCTTTCAGATTTTTCTGGACTTGAATCTCCCTCTTAAAAGGATTCGAGAAAGTAAAGGATGTACTTTGATTTTATCTCTTTGAATGTCCAGTAAGGGAAGAGCCCTTCGTCCCAAAGTATATTATTCAGCTCCTTCAACAATCGACTGAATCTTCAAATATTTAATATTAATCAAATGCTAACTGCATTCAGTCCACAGAAATGTTGTATGAGGGAGCTTCAAAAAGGTTGTGGAAAATGAAAGAGAAAGATAATAGAATTTCTCAATCGTGTTTTGAAATCCTCTTGTATACTCTAAGAAAGATATTAAGAAGGTCCACCTGATCATTAAAACATTTTAATGAGAGGCGATTCTAAAATCGGGTGGTGTGTGCCCCCCCTCTGTGGGCCTGAGAGCAGGAAAGATGCTAAGTCTTCCGGCAAGAGAGGGTTGATGTCTGTTTAATGCACGCAGTTCATCTCACCCGCAGCGTGCGGCTTTCCACAGGACACTGAGCTTGATCAGAGGCGCTTTGTCTGATTGCAACGGAGATGATGCCTTTTAGAAGATTACACTATAATAGCTTATATCATCTTTGTAAAAAAGCATCGTCGGTGTATTCCAGCAACGTAGCTTATGGCTTTAAGCTTAATGCTGAGTGACTTGATGCATTTTGTTTTTCTTTCTTTCTAAGGTTGATTTTGGCTTTGCAAAGAAAATAGGATTTGGAAAGAAGACATGGACTTTTTGTGGAACTCCAGAGTATGTCGCCCCCGAGATCATCCTGAACAAAGGTCATGACATTTCAGCTGACTATTGGTCCCTGGGAATCCTCATGTATGAACTTCTGACTGGCAGGTACGGGCATTGATAGGGAACTGTCGATAGCAGTAGACCAGCAAACAACTCTTGCCATTTTCAGTTTGAACACACCATTTTAAAGTGCATTTCACCACATCTCAGTACCTACTTTGTTTGTTTTCTCGGAAAACAACTAGCAATTCATAAAATGAAGGCTCAAATGGACCAGGTTAAGGCAATCCATTCATTATCAACTTTGGTTATCATTGTTGATAATTCTTTTTATATTTATTTATAAAATATATGTGTATCAAGATATGACATATTTGATCCTAGCCATTTATCAAGAAATGAAAGAGACCACACAAGGGCCTCCACTTCAATTAGAAGACATTTCTGCATCCGGTTCATTCACTGCCCTTAGCCTGTCTCAATTTGAATGGCCTATCTGGTGGTTAGCGACCCGATGCTTATTCCACAGCCCCGCCATAAAGACGGCAACCTAGAACATTCTGTGGGACAGTTCTGCTCTGTCACCTGAGGTGGCTAGGAGTCAAAGTCAGTTTGATGGTACCTAAAGAATTGACTTGAGGGAAGTGAGCGTTTTTGTTTGTTTTTTTTAGTGGAAGTGGTATTGTTATTTTTTTAATTTTAAAAAAACTTGAGGGCACATCAAACTCACCTATCACAGATTTAAGGAACAGACGTTCTCCCTTTGACTGAAGGCTGAACTGCCCTAGTGAGAGAGGAAACAGATGGCTGCTATCCCTTGGCTATGGAATTGGCGGTCGTTAGACTCCTTGCTTTGAGGCTGTCCACTGCATAGGGGTCTGGGACAACCTTATATTTCCTATTTAATGCCCTCGTTGCTTTCTTGTGATATTTATTAATCTTGTCAGCATGGCTCTGCCTTTGTTAATGAGTGATATTGGAAAATTTGCACTATCAGCTCCCATTGTTTATGTAAATAGTATCCATTCATTTAAGAATTTGATCTGTATAAGTCAACAATTCATATATTGTGGTCGGAAGTCAGCCTACACTTGTATGAATTTCCCTTTCTCAACAATATTTCCAATTCGATACCATGACTAAATTAATGACACTATCAATATAATTACCTTATGCCCCAGGAGGATGATTTATAATGTTCTCTATTGTAAAACAATAATAATATCTCTAAAATGAACCAGACATATATAAATGATAGAGATACCTGAATGGATTTGGAATCACACTTATTTCTAGCCCCAATCTGAAAACAATTAGTTCTTATGACATGGCCTTGCTGGATGCTCACCCTCTTAAAGAGATCACTGACAATATGGGGACTATAGGAAAACGTGGTGAAGAAGCCAGTTGGTGTCTGGTTATCCAAAGGAATAGTGCCTGGCAGCTTAAAGACTTGTCTTCAAACAAAGAACCTTCTCAGTGAGGCATCAATGAAGTCCACATGGAAGAGGCCAGGCTGTGTGACCCAAGTGTTGTAAAACATGGGGTGGCGCCGTGAATATCCCAGGTAACATCAATAACACTCAGAAGTGCAACCGTGCTTGGTTTTTCTGAGGCTACATCAGGGGATGAGGGTGTGGGCCATAAAATCGATGTCCTGAAGCCCATCCTAAGTATTTTAGACTCCAACCCAAGTATAGTTCAGTGAGTGGCTATGTGTCGGAAATGACTCGAGAACCTGAGTGGAAGGAAGGAAGGAGTGTCTTCAATGACCAAAGGCAATAAGAAAGCAGAAGGCTAGCCAGCAAAATTAAAGAGAATTGATGGGCACAACCGACAAACTTGACCCATTTCACGGTTTTGCTACGAAAGGCTTCCACACTGGTTAGCCATTAATCCAATCTTCTTCCACCTATCACTCCTAATATACTTCCCCAAATAGTAATTTCTGTCATTTGTGGCATTTCTTTTTTCCCCCAATCATTTTATTAGGGGCTCATACAACTCTTATCACAATCCATAAGTACATCACTTGTGAAAAACACATTTGTACATTCATTGCCCTCATCATTCTCAAAACATCTGCTTTCCACCTAAGCCCCTGGCATCAGCTCCTCATTTTTACCCCTCCCTCCACACTCCTCCCTTTCTCATGAGCCCTTGACAATTTAGAAATTATTATTTTGTCATATCCTGCACTGTCCGACATCTCCCTTCACCCACTTTTCTGTTGTCCGTCCCCCAGGGAGAAGGCCACATGTAGATCCTTGCAGTCAGCTCCCCCTCTCCAACCCACCCTCCCTCCACCCTCCCAGTATCTCGCCACTCACACCACTGGTCCTGAATGGATCATCTGCCCTGGATTCCCTGTGCCTCCAGCTCCTATCTGTACCAATGTACATCCTCTGGTCTAGCCAGATTTGTAAGGTAGAATTGGCATCATGGTATTTGGGGGAGGAGTAGGGAGAAGAAGCATTTAGGAACTAGAGGAAAGTTGTATGTTTCATCATTGCTACATCGCACCCTGACTGGCTCATCTCCTCCCCGAGACCCTTCTGTAAGGGGATGTCCAGTGGCCTACAAATGGGCTTTGAGTCTCCACTCCTCACTCCCCTCCTCATTCACAATGATATGATTTTTTGTTCTGATGATGCCTGATACTTGATCCCTTCGACCCCCTCATGATCACACAGGCTGGTGTGCTTCTTCCATGTAGGCTTTGTTGCTTCTGAGCTAGATGGCCACTTGTTTACCTTCAAGCCTTTTTGTGGCATTTCTAATGATGATTTTTTCCTTAGGAAATAGAAATAAAACCTCTTGTCCTGTTTCTGATTCTTGCAGCCCACCTTTCTCAGGCCCAGATCCTATGAAAACCTATAACATCATATTGAGGGGGATTGATATGATAGAATTTCCAAAGAAGATTGCCAAAAATGCTGCTAACTTAATTAAAAAACTATGCAGGTAAGCATTTCCACCACATCACATTCGAAAAGATCATAAACAGAAGGTTCCTTACCAATTATTGTTTTATTTACAGGGACAATCCATCAGAAAGATTAGGGAACTTGAAAAATGGCGTGAAAGACATTCAAAAGCACAAGTAAGTGTTCTGCCCTTTGAAGTTCAGGTTTGGGAGCGTTCACCAGAGCTGGAAATGGCAAGCATTTCCCCAGCCTGTCGTTTGAGAAGCCTAAGTTGTGATGCTAGAACTGATGCCATCCATTGTCTGTTGGTGCCCGAGAGTCCACTGTACTTTGTAAAGAGTCCATGTGACAAAGTAAAACTGCTCTATCTGGGTTTGGTGTGGTGGCCTAGTTGTTAAGTGTTGGGCAGCTAATTACAAGGTCAGCAGTTTGAAACCACCAGTCAGTCCACTGGAGGGGCTTTCTGCTCCGGCAAACAGTTGCAGTCCCAGAAACTCACAGGGCTCATTCCACCCTGCCCGGTAGGGTCACCATGAATCTACATTGACGCACAGGCAGTAAAGTTGGTTTTTTGCTTGTTTTTTGTTTGTTTGTTTGTTTTAATGGAAGCAAATCTCCAGCTCTTTTTTCCTATGGATTGATTGGGTCAATAGATTCCAAGAAGCTAACCTTTGGGTTAGCACCTAATACTTGGGCCACTGGAAACATCCTCAGCGCTTGGAGGCCAATCAGCCGTTTTAAAAAGGGCTTTCCTAGTTTCATCTTTGGAACCTGACCCTGCAAGGCACGGAATTCACGAAATTCAACTCTTCTCAATTCACACCAAGTAACATTGTTTCTTCTCGAGTTGCGGTGGCAGTTCACAAGAACAACAGCAGAAGGAGGACATGTGTCTGCCTGTCTTTTTTCTGGAATCCTATGCTGACCAAAATATTTAAAACAAACAAAAACAAACCCTTCCACCTTATTATGCCATGCTTCCTAAACTAAAGTCCAAACAACTTCCAGCCATTTCCTAGTTTAGATAATATAATGAAAATTAAAATACATTTTAAAACAATAGTAGCACTTTCAGTATTAGACCTTATATATATTGACTGAGTTTTCCAAAGCTAAGCCAAGTTCAAATTCCTTTTTCTCTATTCACCCCTCTGTGCAACGCTCACAGCACATACACATTTCCATCAAAGGGACCTATTTACTGTAATAACCATGAATATCCAAAAGGTTGAAAGTCCTACTAAGAATGTAGTATGAGCACTTGCCAGCCCTTCAGATTAAAACACAGCAATAAGTCATAGTAGCATATGCTTTTATTTTCAATGAAAAGTTATGTACCATATATCTTCATTTACTTACAAAAAGGAGAAAGATTGGAAATTTGATAAGATATGTAAACACCAATAGAAATGGGAGACAATTATTTCTCTGACTTTGTAGTAAAGACGGGACAGTAATTTTCTCTCATGCCTGATTCTACCTCCTTAAATAACAGGGGCAAAAACATTTATAGCATTTACTAAATCATAATGGTAGTATAAGAACAGGGTCATGCAGGTACTTGACTAGAATTACTAGAATAAAAGAGAATTCTTCCTAATTGATATTATAAATTTTGACAGACTTTTGGAAAAAGACACATCATCCTATAAGTTAATTGGAAAAATCTGTAATTAAATGGAAATTCTTTTTGTTGTATTGAAAATGTTTGTTAACTGGTTTCCATCATTCACTTGCCTTTATGTGTTGCAGTGAGAAGGTTTTAGCTAAGGTGCAATGTCTCTCACTGTCTTCGTGTTTTAATCTTTTTTTTGTGTGTGTGTGTTTTAATCTTTGCTCTTGTGTTTCTTTTCATTCCTTTTCCTAGATGGTTTGAGGGCTTTAATTGGGAAGGCTTACGAAAAGGCACATTGACACCTCCCATAATACCAAGTGTAAGTAAACCTTCCAGTTTATAATTGAATGGCACACTTTATTGGCCTGGCTCTGTTGTCAGAGACAATGTTATTTTAAAGCTTATGCTATGATCAGATGAAATGAACTAGAGACAGGCAACATTCAAACAGTGGTATATGCTGAAATCTAAGTTTGAAAATAGATAAACGAGGAACAAGTTACTCTATATACATTTTACCTTTCACTTTGGTGATTATTCATTTTAATTACTTACTTTTCCATTATCTTTTCATTCCATTTTCCCATGACATGTTTGAAAATCTCCTTGTAGTTTAAAAAAAAAAGCCATTAAACAATGATTTTGGCTACTATCCAACTATTTTGTGTGTTAATGATGTACATTTGGTGGTATTGGATGCTGAGAGGTAAAGTGAGAAAAATGCTGACTGTTCAGATAATATGTCAACTAGGCTGATAAGTAATGATTTAATTTGACAATTGTGTAATGATGTAGCTATTCTCCACTTTGTGATCTGATATGATCATAGTCCATTTTCACATAATGTGAATTTTTCCACATCAACCTTATCTTTGGAACCTAATCCTATCATTAGGTGAGGAATGCAGGTTATATAAAAGGTTAAACATACAAATGTAGGTGGAAGACGTGTTTTCAGTAACCAGTTTCAACAGTTATCAACTCCTGGAAAACAGTACCTCATTGACAGACCTCTAAGCCAGTTTGAGCCAGTCCAGCCATGGCAAACTTAGGGAAATCATCACAGAGCCAAATGTGTAAGATGTGGGTGTACCAAATCCACAACCAGAATAAGAAACATTGCTGGTTGAAGTCCTAGAATAGGAGACTGGGAAGGAGTGTACCGACCCCTTTCCGGAACCTGCTGCAGGCTGCGGGGTCGGTGCCGGACGACGGAGAGCACCTTCAAGCAGCACAGTGTATGGCCAGTGTTGAGCCAGCATTTCTTTATTTTGACTCGTCAAGAGATTTGGTTGCTATGTGATGCACAGGCAGCCTTTATTTTCTAGGATCTGTATTAAGTTTCTAACAGGGTGCTGATCAATAATTAATCTATTTCCTGTTATTATAATACACCCACATTTTACAAATTCATCTTCATCCTTGTTCAGCTTCATCAGACGTAGCTGAACAGGGAAACAGCAGGTTCAAACCCTTCTCACCGTCCCTCCTCTCTGCCCTGGGCTCTGTTTCATTCCTTCCTCGGTCCCTAAAAGGAAATGACTCTCTTTCCTTAACTCTCTTTCCCCGATACGTCAGGGTTCATGTTACATAGCCAATCCATTCAGTGCCTGCACGGCATTAGCTTGAATATCTGCAATATCTCAATGATATTGTCCAGCATTCTAATTAAGGAGGAAAGGAGGCCTCTTCCGTCCTGGGTCTTTCATTTTATTCTGCCTCTTTCTACGAGGGACTCGAGTCTGCTCTTCAGACAGAAACATCCTCCAGCTTCTAAGATTTATTTCCTGGCTAATGTTTACATTCATTCACACACAAAACATCAGTGGACTTCCCCTATTTCACATTACAGATGTTTCTTGCACTTGCATAATTTTTATTTCAGAATAAAAGTAAGAAATGGGGAGGGATAAATATTTCAGTCTTTTTGCGTTAGTAATATTCAACGGCATTTTCCCTGAAGTAAATGTTTCTGAGTATCATCAGATTTGACAACTAAATTATGCTGCTTCGTTACTTTTATGGCTACTGTACAAAAGATTTTACTTTTGCCACTAAATTTCCAGAACACTGATATAACTTTATAATTGGCTTGTATGATACTTAGAAAAAGATAGGTTTTAATGCGGCCTAAAAGACCGGAAAGAATCAAATCCCTGTCTGTTTCAGAGCCTCACATAATGCCACACCTACTCCGCTCAGACATGGAACTGTGGTAGCGCTGTGCGTTCAGTGCTGGCTGCTAACCTCAGAAGAGTGGCTCAAAACCACCAAGTCCTCCTTGGGAGAAAGAAAAAAGGCTCTTTCTTATAAATTTACAGCCTCAGAAACCCTATGTCAGAGTCAACTCAGGGTCAGTAGATTGGTTTTCTCTTAGCAGCTATATCGGCCTTTCTTGTTTATTCCGAAGCATTGAGCGCTCTCCCACCTCAAAGTGTAGTGCAACCTCTTTCTTGAACTCAAGAATTCTTGGGCTTAAAATAATGCTTTCTTAAAGATACCTCGATCACTCTAATATAGTCTCATGACACCTTGTGTTTTTATTTCATAGCACCAATTTTTTAATTATTTTATAATTATATATTGATTTTTGTGACTTTCTTTCAGTCACACAAATTATTCCTTACTTAGAATAAACTCCAATCCACAAGGACAAAGGCCAGGTCTCTTTTTAGTCACCATTGTTTGTCCTGACACAAAGTCTCATTCCTGTTACGTAGAAGACTGACACACAAAAAGGAGTCACTGAATGGAAATTGAGTAAAGATATATATCTCCACTCTATGGAAGAGAAACGGAGCTTTCTGTTCCCGTGAGGGTTACAATCTCCCAAACTCACAGAGGCAGTTCTAGCCTGACTTACAGGGTCGCTCTGAGTCAGCATCGACTTGGTGTCAGGGAGGCTTTCTTGAGGGGGCCGTATAGGTTTGTATTCTAATGAGAAACCAGACGCAAAACAGCCTGGTAATCGTGCTCTTTTGCTCGCAGGTTGCATCACCAACAGACACAAGCAATTTTGACAGTTTCCCTGAGGACAGTGACGAACCACCGCCTGATGACAACTCAGGATGGGATATAGACTTCTAACATATTTCTCTTACCTGCTTCTGCCTTGCTGAAGACAGCTTTATCTGAGACACAGCTGCCAGCATACCTGAGGGAAAGGGAGAAGATTTGCGCTCGGGGTCACCGTGATGCCTTTGATCGATGCTGCTCCAGTAACTCCAGTGGCATTAGGACTTCTTGCTTAGATGACTATAGCGCTCTTTACTCGTTTTCTGTTCGAATCTAAAATAGCAGTTGACATGGTGGTCCTGAAGCAAAGCCTTTCACCAGTAGAGATGTTTTCTATCGTTGCATTGATCTTGCTTTGCTCTGATTATAGACTGTAAGAAACACTTCAATCCAGTAAGAGTCGGTACCTGGCTAGAGTGATCCATCAGTTCAAAAAATCACATATGGGATAGGATAGGTTACTGTGGTACAGAAACTGGGCTCTCCCCTTTCTTCCACTGAGTGTTGTGGGGCATCCGACTGCTAGCCAGTGTGTACATCATGCAGAAGAGGACCACACATCTGTTGGTCGTAGAGCTTCACCATTTTTATTTCCTAGTCGTGCTGATGACGAGACTGAATGTTACCCTTCCAACAGATTTTAAAAATTGATACGAAAAAGCACAATTGCTATGGATTCTGCTGAGAACTCTTACAGCAGGGATGGCTGCGTTTCCACAGAGGGTTGAAAACCATGCATGACACTCGTTTGTTTCTTTTTGACAAATTGGCATGATCGAGTGGCACACAAAGGAATTAATAAAACCATTTCATGTTCTTTAAAATATTGTGCTTAAAGATGGTCCTGGAAATAAATGACTAGCAGCCAATTGGTTTTATTTGTTACCTAACATACCCTCAAACTGAGGTTTAAAGTACTCCCTTTTATAAAAGTAATCCCTTGGTGGTGGGGTGGGGTGGGACAGAATTAAGACCCATCCAAAAATAAACGTTCAAATAAACAACATAGGTGCTATGTATATCTTTCATCTGTAAATGTCAGTGTCTGAACAGACAACACAAAACTAACCATTTCATGTCTAGCCAGAGACGCAATCATTTTCACTAAATTTGTTAAAACAAATTCCTGTCAGATTCTACTTATACAGTGTAGCCTAGGGTGGAGGGAGGAAGGTGGATGAAAACCTGATTGAACTAGCTTCTTGTCTTGGGCATGAACCAAACATAAAATCAAAGAAAGAAAGCGCAAAGTTCAAGTAATTCAGATTTTCCAGGTGAGAAGTCTTCCTGAGGCAAGGTCAGGGAGTAGACAAGAACTTGGCCGGGTGCTGATCACCTTTGTGTGAGTGAGCCAATATTAGTGCATGTGCATGTGCAAGGAAGAAATGAGTATGGGGAAAATCGGGCAGGTGATCTCTTTAAAAATTGTTTTTTATTGAACATGGAGAGTAACATCACAATTTTGAACTTTTATACCAGTCTGAAAAGACTAGGCTTGGAAATACCCCAACAATTTGCTATTTCACATGCGGAAAAGAATGAACAATTTAAACGGAATCATTTTTGGGCAGGGAGGTTGACTATTAGCTGTCACAAGGAGCAGGGCCATTGCAAAGTTTTCCTTGACAAATAGCATCCTAGCTTTCTAGACAAGAACATAGCCTTATAAGCTGTCATCCTCATTTGGAACTGTGCATGAATTTGGTGTAATGAATAGAGGTGTGCTCTTTCACGTTGAAGAGTTGAAACCCAATCAAATGTTGACCTTGCAGGAGCGTGGGGGAGTCAAAATAGAGCCTGGCAGCATAGCGAGAAGGTGCACACGATCAAGTTCTTCATCTGCGCTACTCAAGACCACTGTAGGATGTCATGTACTATCAACACATCACACTGAACACACGCACAGTATATGATTACTAAAGGCAAAAACTACACTAAGACTATATCGTTAGAATAAAGTTAAATTAATATCTTTGATTCTAAGATATCACTGCTAGTCTAGTATAATTGTTTCCCACTTAAGCAATCTCTCCAAAGTGGTCTATTTCCCCAGGATAATAATTTTCTTTTACAGATTTCAGAATCGACAATGAACTATATCAATTGAAAATCTAAATTTGAATGCTATTTCAGAGGCTTTCTAATCCTTCTAAATCGGGCTTTAACAAAATATGTTCCCAACGTGATAGTCAAGGTTAATTTTTTTTTTCTTTTGTAAATTAAAAATAGTGTGGTTTTTGGCATTAGAGGTTTACCTGATCTTAATTTCAGAAAATCAACTCCTGCAGCCTTTCGGATAGCCCAAACGTCCCCCGAGAGTAGCCCTCACGGTGGGCTTTGGAACTATAGTTCAAGTGTAAGACAAGCAGGATATTCAAGCTCTCTTGAGAAGGAAGAAGTGGCATTCAGCACAATGTAACTGTGTATTGTTTCTCCCATTTGTTACTGCATCTCTGTTCACCTGACACGCGGCATAGCATGAGACAGCTAAAGCAATCACCCAAAATAAAGGTGAACTACATCTTCCAAGAATTACTAACAGAAAACAGTCATCTAATTTTCAACATTGAATTTTAAGGATTTAAATCTTGTCTTAATGAAAACACTAGGGCTATAAATCATGATCAGCTCATAAAATGCATCTCACTTTATTTCTGAAAACTCCATATTCCTTCCATGTTAAGACACAAAAGGAAATCGGTGACTTAAAAGAGTGTTAACCTGCGTGGTGTGTTAACTGACTTTCTTGTTGATGCCTGACTATGAACAATGTGGGCTTTCTGTGTGTCTTGACTCACAGGAACACTGACAACTGCCAAGGAAAGGAACGTCCTAATATTTGCGATGGATTGGTTACATTAGGAAAAAATTCCGGAAAATTTCTATAAACGAGTTTATGTTAAGAACTTCTTTCTTCTTAAGATATAAATCAGGTCAATGTGGCATTTTGACAAATTTATTTTCATTATTCTTTACATGTGGTAATTTTTTACATAAAAGTATTGAATATGTATGTGAATTACACATGTCTAATAATACATAAACTCAACTATTGGATTCTTATTTCATTTCTAAATGACTGAACTGATGATGGACTTAAGTTTTAATAAGTCAGCTACAGTATTGAGAACAAGGACAGGAGAGTTGATTTCTGACTGTAGAGGTGACCTGTGCATTATCCATAACAACGTTTTCTTTCACAATAGGACCACAGACAACTATTTATGTAAATAGATATTTTTGTGTGATATTTTGTGGTACATATAACTTTTTTTTAGAGTTTCACAGCATTATTCTTTCATCTTATTTGTATTGGATAATGTTTTTAGGTCCAAGTAGACTTGAATTAATGTCATTATTGTCAGTATTATTGAAAATTATGTCAACTGTACTGTTACTCATCTGTCCCATAGTTTAGAACATGACCTGCTATCTGGCGTTGTTGCAAGTGCCTTAACTTCCTGGCATCCTATTAAAAAACAAATTTGGTGTTATGCTGCATGACAAAGACAAACACACCTCAAAATGTTGTCCTTTCTTAGCTTGCTGCGTTTTACAGTTCTTTCTGCTAACAATTTATAAGCCTTTATTATATAATACTGATGAATTAATTACAGAAATGATGAAGTTGTTCTCTTATTTCTGTTAAATGTACCAGAGCTGTGTATCTGTTAATGAGATACAGCATCATTTCTGTGAAATGTATAAATGTACGTGCAGGTCAAATTAATATATGACATACTATCAGTCTGTATACAGGTGTTCCTGTTTTGCTAAGCTGTGCAGATTCAGTGAAGAACAATAGTGCAGTCGAGTTCTAACATAGCTCATTTTGTAGATTCCATGGACAATGGTTCAACCCAAAAGGAAAATGGGAAAATGACTGCTAACTACACCTCGTTATGAAACCAATGATGAAAAAGTACCTTGGTGCACCACTCAACAAAACAGGATGCTTTCTCTGAGTTCTTGTATATGCAAATCATTTAGGAAGCAAGTTTTCAACAGAACTAGAAAGTCAAACATGGAAAGTGTGTTGTTACCCTCCTCTTAACCTGCCCATGCATTAAACGACAGAGCTCTGAGACACTGACACACATTGACTCAGAGATTTGGGCTTTCCAAGTAAAGAGACATTTCTTTAAGTATCATCTATCACATTTATTTCAGTGTATAATGTTTTAAAACTGGTCAGTTCTTTTGTATTCTTACAGCTGTGGTTGTTTGATTGTCCTCTGATAACTTGTCCTACTCGAAAGAGTCCTTTATTAGAAGCAACAACTGTCATCAAATGGTCATTGACCACTTGCACTCTTTTGATGTAGATTAAAACCTTTTTCATAAACGTAACCTGCTTTGATTTGCTCTGTATTTTTCCTGCAGCTGTAATTGCCGAGTGCCTGTTGTATACTTTATAGAGTTGAAATAAAAAAATAATTACTTTTGAACTTAGTGGCTGTTTAATTCCAGACAAGCTCACAAGAATAGAAGAATTTGGTAAACTATCCTAGAATTTAAATGCCATGTAAAAAACACTTTTAACCCAAGCATCTTTCATGAACTAATCTGTGGTCTAATATGAAATTAATCCAAGTCAGCTGAAAGAATTACATTTGTACAACCCTGGGACATGCAGTGTGAATAGGAAAGTTGTTGTAGAGACCAAATTCCCATAAAGCCAACCCAATAGCTGTAAAATCTATTCGCGCTCAGAGCAACCCTGTGTAATGTGGCTGTGGAGGCTGCAGTTCTTCACCAGAGCAGGAAGCTGCATCTTTTTCTCACAGAGTGATGATGGAGTCAGAGGACTGGCCGATGGTTTTCAGCCCAACACCTAAACCACTATCCCAACAAGACCACCTAAACCGCTATCCCTCCAAGACCACCTAAACCACGATACCACCAAGACCATCCACAGAACCCCAGGATTTAGCAATCCCTGGTGCACCAACATCGCCATCATTGCATTCCCCCTGTGGCGCTGCCCCGGACAACCTCTGAGATAGACAAACTATAAAGGGAAAGCCCGTAAGTAGTATTAACAGACTAGGAAGTAATTATTTAATATGGGAAGCAACCCCATACACCTTTGTCTAAATTTTCTTATTTGATCCCTCTGTTAAAGCCTCCTGTGCATAAAGAAAAATAGATTTGAAAAGGATTCTGATTGCAAAAACCCCAAATCTCTAATGCCTGGTCATCACGGTCTTCCTCTAGCCGTCTGTGCTGTATGGTAGCCATGATTGATTCACGGGTCACAGCTGAGTGCAGCATCAAGATGTTCTCAATGTGGTTGCCTTTGTTTTACGGACATTGTACTCTCAGTGACCGTGGGTGGAAAACCCCATTTTATGAAAACCCAAGATTCAGTCCAGTTAATGATTTCCAACCGAACAAACACGATCATGTTTAAGAAAGCTCTGTTAAGGTAATGTGACCAGATTTTAACATTGGTAAAGTGGGACACCATTGATAAAATGCATATCCTGGCGAAATAGCCACATGGCAGCCGAAAACCGTATACCCTAGCTTGTCGTGCATTCTTTCCAAAAATCGGGACTTTTTAAAAACACCTTGGGACATGGGAAAATTTGTGAAAAATCTGGACTGTCTTGCCAAAAGCGGGACGTCTAGTCACCTTATGTTAAGGGTCACTTGACTCTTGGGCAGATGGCCATGGAAGTAAGCCATTGCTCCATGCTGCCCCTGCACAAGAAATACAACATGGCCACAGTGTTCAATTCCATTTTAGGAAAAGCAGAGGACAGCAGCACAGAACTTCAAACTGGCAGAAATCCAAAGGTCACATAGGGTCTGACCATCACATCCTACAGTGTCCCTTGACCTCCCTGAGTGACATGGGCTGCCAGCTTCCATGAATTGGCATCGTGGATGAAAAAAAACAAAAACACAACCATGCTTTTCTAGCCACCACAGCCCCTGCCTGTGCAAAGAGGCAGGAATCCAAGACCAGCAAGGCACGACTCTCCAGGGCTCCCCTTAGAGGGGACCAGCACCGAGAACCATCAGCTGTGAGTCCCCTGCACAGTTTACGGAAGGTCTGTGCAGTGAAGCCCACTCACATGGCCATGCCTCCAGCTGCTTTCCTGCCCACACGACAATTCAGGCCTCTGCAGCCCACAGGACAGACTTCCCAGGGAGTCAGTTCCGATCCGTCTGCTTCCTCTTTCACTCTGGCATGAGGACCTGGGGATGCAGTGTGCTGAGAAGCAGGCATCTTTATTGGGGATTTCACGCAACCAACATACTACAAGGCAGACGGCTCCAAGGGGGTCCATCGGGAGTGCACTCGGACTTGCACCACACAGACAGCCTACTGACCATTTCTACCGGCGGCCCACGCATTGGAGTCTCTCCCCAGAGTGAACACTCGCTCGACTCCCTTGGGCCTTGCGTAAGTCTGGCCTGTGAAACCCACAGGCCAGACCTTCAGGTCTGTCTGCTTCTCCTTTTGGCTGGTTCTGGAGTCTTCAGAATGAGGCTGCTAGGTAGTAAGAAGCAGGAGGCATCTTTAGTGGAGGCTACCCCACAACCAACACACTACTGGGAGGACACTGATGGGAAGAAAGCTTTGAAACAGGACAGCCCTCCTCCACACAATTAGGGTCACCTGAAAGCCTGCTGGGAATTGCTACAGATGAGCCCTGCAGTAGAGTGAGGGTCAATTTGGACTCGCTGGTACTGTGGACTACTGGCTTCAGCTGCAATGTGTTAGAGAGTAAGAGGCACAGTTAACAATGCATCTTGGGGAATCACATAGCAACATGGTAGGTCTCTATGAGGATGTGACCAGCCATTGCAAACTACTACAAAAGGATTAATGAGTCTGCTCACATAGTCAGTACTCTACTTACCTCCCTGGGGATAAACCTAGGTCCCAGGTCCATCTGTTTCACCTTTCAATCAATGTTGAGTACTGCTGACCAACGCTGCTGTGTGTTAGGAAGCTGTTGAGATCTTGTGTGGAGGCCACACTTTGGGCAACCAGGTATATGCTGGACTGATGTGAGCCTCTATAGAAGGTTCCCAACAAGAGAGCCCAGAGGTGCATCCCTTCAATGGCCCCGCCCCTGTTAGCATCACTGGCCATTGGATCTCTTAAATAGCAAGGCAGGTCAATTTAATAGAACAATGTGTTCTTGCAATGAGTAAGTGCTTGAGTGGAGGCCCAATGTCATCTGCTGAAGAAAAATGTGAACATAAGCAAAGGTGGTGAAGAAAGCTGATGGTGCCCTGCTACCATAAGATATAGCTATGTCTGGGGTCTTAAAGGCTTGAACACAAACAAACGGCCATCTAGCTGAGAAGAATCAAAGCCCATATGGAAGAAGCACACCAGCCTGTCTGACCACGAGGTGTAGAAGGGATCAGTTATCAGACATCAAATAACTGAAAATCTTATCAGTGGGTGCCCGCTATACTGACACAGTCACTGAAGACAAACATGTGCATAAGCAAATGTGGTAAAGATAGCTAATGGTGCCCGGCTATAAAAAGATATAGCATCTGGGGTCTTAAAGGCTTGAAGATAAACAAGCGGCCATCCAGCTGAGAAGCATCAAAGCCCATATGGAAGAAGCACACCAGACTGTCTGACCATGAGGTGCAGAAGGGACAAGTTATCAGACATCAACGAACTAAAAATCAGATCAGTGGGTGCCCACCTTCATGATACGATCAATGAAGAAAAACATGTGCATAAGCAAAGGTGGTGAAGAAAGCTGATGGTGCCAGGCTATCAAAAGATATAGCATCTGGAGTCTTAAAAGCTTGAAAATAAACAACTGGCCAACTAGCTCAGAAGCAACAAATCCCACATGGAAGAAGCACACCAGTGACCACGAGTTGTCGAAGGGATCAGGTATCAAGCATCAAAGAACAAAAAATCATATAATTGTGAAGGTGGGTGAGTGCAGAGTGGAGACTCAAAGTCCATCAGTAGGCAACTGAACACCCCCTTAGTGAAGGGCTGTGGGGAGGAGATGAGCCAATCAGGGTGCAGGCTAGCAATGATGAAACATATAACTTTCCTCTAGTTCTTAAATGCTTCCTCCCCCCATTATCATGATTCCAATTCTATCTTGCAAATCTGGCTAGACCAGAGGATGTACATTGGTACAGATAGCAACTGGAAACACAGGAATCCAGGATAGATGACCCCTTCAGGACCAATGGTGAGGGGCGGCGATGCCTGGAGGTTGAAGGGAATGTGGGGTAGAAGGGGGGAACCAATTACAAGAATCTAAGTATAGCCTCCTCCCTGGGGGATGGACAGCAGAGAAGAGGCGGACGGAGACGTTGGACAGAATAACTTATGACAAAACTATGAGGGGGGAAATGAGCAACTGATATTAAGGGCTAAAGCAGAAGGCAAATGTTTTGAGAATGATGAGGGCAACAAATGTACATATGTGCTTGACACAATGGATGGATGTATGGATTATATGAATTTTACAAGCCACCAATAAAATAATTTTTAAAAAATAAATAAATAACAAGGCAGGTCTTCCAGAGATCCTTCTGGTGAATTCTCTTTGACCATAGTTTAGGAGGGCTAAGAATAGCCTTATTATCAGACAGAGAACATTGTAAAGTTGATTATGGCATGAGTAGTTAGGTTAAAATGTAACACCTTGGCATTTCATCTCCGTTTGACCCATTTTAAAGGTATTTCCATTTTTAATATTTTCTGCTTTCTTTTCGACTGAGGTTTTTTTCTAGACATCTATGTTTTTCTAGACATTGTTACTTGTTTGTTTGCTTGTTTCCTGTTTGTGTTTTGTATTAATTTTCTTTATATGAAATCCAGGATAGGTCGATCTATAGATGCAATTGGATTTATAATTGCCTAGGGACATGACAGTCATTCTGAAAAAAGGGTTCTTAAAAAACTGAAAATAGAACCATGATTATTGTTATTGTCCAGTGCCAACGAGTTAGTTCCAACTTACACTGATGTCACGTGTAACACATGGAACTGGCCTGTCCCGATTCATCCTCACAGCCATTCGTATGATTGAGCCCATTGACACAATCACTTCTTGTTTGTTTCTCCTGATAATATATTCAAATTAAGTGATGCACCAGCTCTTCATCCTAATTTCTAAGGGGCATTCTTGCTGTATTTCCTCTAACACAGATTTGTTCATTCTTTGAACAGTCCAATATTCAAGATCTATTTTTCTTCAGTTTTCCTTTTCCATTGTCCAGCTACCACATGAATAAGAGGCTATTGAAAATATGACTTCGGTTAGGTACGGCTTATTTCTTAAAGTGAGATCATTCATTTATTCTCATTTTCTGATTTTAAATCATGTAGTATCCTGTGTTCGAATAATTGTCTCTTGGTCTGTGTATGAGGACTTCTGGTTGCACAATGGGTTGTGATTGGGGCTGCTAACCACCAGCGGGGAGTTTGAAGATTTGT